GCGTGGCTGATCAGGGCCACCTTAGGGAGGAGACAGGAGGGTCTGGCATGGCTGATCAGGGCCACCTTAGGGAGGAGACAGGAGGGTCTGGCGTGCATGACGGACAGTACGTAACATGTGCTTCACAAAGCTTTTAAGTATTACCTCACCCCAGCTTTACGCTCGAATAAACATCCTGTTACCGCAGTGCAGACTGTCAGGCAATGTTTGGTAGGAGATTGCAGCATGGCTTTCAGGTTTGGCTGATGAGAGACTAATTCATAGAATCTACTATAAAAAGCATTCATATTTAAATCCATTTTCATACTAACAGTTTCCACATCCTTACATCTGTGAGCTTCATAGTACAGAATTTATTCCTCAGCAGTTCACATTAAGTCAAGTGGGCTGTATTGTCATACCATACATAAACAGGTATATTGTGGCATGAAATATTGTTCCCCCAGGACCACAATGCAACCTACAAGCTTTTGGTTTTCGTAATAGTTAAAATGCAAAACACAGGATAGTGCAAAACAGGGGAGGGGGTACTGTGTCCTCACAGTCTCTGGGAAGAAGCTGTTGCTGAACCTAGCAGAACTGGCTCCGATGTTCTTGTACCTTCTGCCCGATGGGGGCAAGACAAACACTCCAGGGGAAGTGTGGCATGTGGCATGAATGGTAGAAATTTAGAATTAAAGCAGAGTCTGTTCAAAATTAAATGCAAATTCAGGCTTTCCGTCACTATACAACTACAGTTATTTAGCATAGCTAAATATTTCTTTAATTCAGACAGAAGTCTTGAAATAAAGAGAAACAAATTATGCCTATATCATTGTTGCATGGGTCAAGCACAGCATCTAAGACATAAAAGTGTTTCATTTCAAAATGTCCACTGACATTTTCTTCAGTTTATGACATTGCCCTCAAAATAGCCGAGAATCCTGGGATTCTGTGTAATGTCACAACCAAAGGCCTTGCATTACCAGTAAGGAAAACTAAAGTTTTCTTGTAAAAATCTTAATGTTCCCCATTTTGAGTATTAAAATACAACATGCTATAATGCAATCAAAGAAATAATAATGCATTGTGAATTGAAAATTAACGCTAATGCATTAAATTTAACAGCCTTGATTTTAATGCACAAAAGAAGTATATCAATATGAACAGTATTAAGTTACTTAACCCTTTGGGGTCTAGGGGTAGGAAACACACTTTCACTGACTGGGGCATGATCACACATTTCTTCAAATATCATAAACTTAATTCATGGCAAATAAGTTATTTCTTATATATTTGTTTTGCCATCACACTCATCTTTATTTTAATATATATTGTAAATATGTCAGATTTTTGTTAAGTTTGAAATTTGACATCAAAATATAGACATTGCAAAATGCAGTTTGGAACATTTGCAGAAACATTATAAAAGTACATAGTAAGCAATGCTGGCAGTTTGTTTTGATCCCAGATATCTGATCACCAAAGTCTTGGCTACATGAAGATGACTAAATGGTGTAGATGCAACATTCATTTGGATAAATAAATAAGAAAAACCTAACTCATGTAACTATTTCTGGCTCCTTTCATTGAATATGTAGCAACTTTCATGTGTATGAATGATCCATTGTCACCTGGCCACGTCCCCAACCCCCTTTTATGGTGCTGATGGGGATATATCTGGATCGCGTTTCACCGTTGCGCTGTTAATCAAATTACCATGCGAATGCGATTTGAATACGCGCTAATGCGGCTATTTAGAATGTGAATAGCGATCTTCAGGTGAGAGCGGCACTACACGCCCCCGATGCAGGTAAAACAAAGTAAGATGACATGGTTTACTTTTCTGCCGATTTAACCTAATTAAAAAAACTTTAATACTTCCGACAATGGACGTTTTGAAAAGAAGACAGATTACGGATTTAGCCAGCGTTTTTTTCATGATTCTACATTAAGATTTCAGCGAGATATAAACTGAAATAGACGCGAAAAGTACGCGATGTCGCCGCCTACATCATCAGCAGTCCCAAGACCAATGGTTAACTGTTCCCTGCGTTGTAGTCTTGGGGAATATCAGACAGAAACCATAGCATAGTAGATGGACTGCCCTGTTTTGAGGTGCTCTTAGACTCTTGTTGTGAAAGCCAATAAATGTGTTTTGAGTTTTCTGAGTCTTTGCAATGACCTTTGGATGATTAATTTAAGAGGGAATTTGTATAGCCTATCTTGTGCAAGGTCATTGCAGGGAGAGCACAATGGGCCAATGAGTATCCACAAATACTTCTGAGTTCTGAGTCTCAGGCATGAGTCATATTCACCTGGAGTATTGTGAAGACAGAGTTCATTAACAGGCTAATGCTATTGGCAGAGGGTGTTACTGAAACAGTTATCCAGTTAACACTAGACAGTATGTCATATCTGTCACTAGCCATCCATGGGAATCTTTTGCATGATATAGTTGTACATTTTTAAGGGCTATAGGGGTAAACAAAGTAATGGCAGTTAATTTTCAAACCTTCTAAAGGGCAATATGGAAATATTTGTAATCTTGTACTCAAACCTGACTTATCTTCAAAGGATTTTTGTTGTGCTTTGCTTGCTTTTGAAAATGCACAGTAGTAATTTATTCCTTTTATGAATCAGTATAAACCAATTTATGAAGAGAGGAATAAAATGGTTATATATTGCTAGTACTTCATTAGTGAGATCAATGTTCCATTTAGCATGGCAAGCTGTGTCATTAGTACAGCAATAAATAATTATTCCACATCCATTTAAGCTTTCTTAATGCACAGTAGTTAAGAAAATTAAATTAGAAATCACTATTTAATTACTAGGCAGTTGACTGTATTCTTGACATTTTGTTTTATAGTTGTTTTTAGTCATAGGTTCTTGGTTGAGCTAAGGTAGGGATTCCCTGGTCCGCGGCCAGTTTTATACTTTATAAGTGGTGGTGTTTTGGGGAGGGCTTGGTTAATTTCCAAAAATGAAGTATTTTTTTCAACTCGCACAATTTTTAACATCTGTTAGGTTCACATGTTGTGATCTCACCTTCAAAAAAGTCAGCACCTAAAATTTAAATCTGGCCCACTGATCGATTTGATTCTTGCACAATGTAAAGTAGTCCATGGACATCAAAACATTGGGAATCCGTAATCGAAGGTAATCAAAATTATTCAGGATTATTCACTGAAATGCAGTTTCACTGTCCCTGTACTGTAGGAAACCAATGAAATCAGTGAATACTGGAATCGGTGCAGACTGTCAGCCTGTTACATATGGGACTGAGTGACGATCCATGAGGTGGTTAGCAGAGAAAGGGGCTTTATTCAGAAATGAAATGCAAACTAAACGCAGAAACAAAAGGATCACAAGTGGTCAAAGCAGGTAGGGCAAGAAGACTAGGAGTACAAATAACACTCATGGAAACATTTGTTACAAACTGGGGCCTAAAACAGTTAACACTAACAAACCATAAGCATGTACACAGACAACACTAACAATGACTGACAAAGAACTGGGGCAAGGGTAGGTACTTATATTCACAGCAACTTCATGAGCACATCAGGCCTGGGAAGAGGGAGTAAGACGGGACAGTCAGGAGCACCTTATGACCAAATGGGAACATGATGGACACGGTAGGGTCTGATCCTGACTCAACAACAGCAACGCTCAACTGAAGCACGTGTTGGCCGTCTTGAGCCCCCTGTGCTCCGCGTGCTAATGTCTGTCTGATGTGGTTCTTCCCTGTGGACAATATGAGGACCACATAGACTTGCAGGTAATTCAAGTATGAATGAGAAAAGAGCTTTTCTGGTATGTTGTGCATCTTCATTGTATCTTTCCCAAGCCTATTTGGGAAATTTCATTCGAAGGCAGTGATACAAGAAGCCTTTCTCAGTTTCACTTCATGAATAGAAAGTTTCATGATCAAACAAAGTACTTTACAGATGATGGTGCTGGACCTAAATATTTTCAAATATTTTAAAATTGATATACATAAAATATTTGAGAGCATACCTTCCGATTTATGCTTGCCTTGTCCACAGGCTTTGGTTAAAGAATAAAAATGAACATATTGCAGAATATAATTTTATACTTAAGTGACGTTTCTCACAGTTCTGTGAGATAAATAAATCTATAAATAGGCAAGATGACATATAAACAGCACAGAAATCCTTTATATCTAAATTTGAGGTTTTGCCCCTCAAAACAATTTTTAACCTCTTTTTGTTAGGAAAAAATGCTTAAAAACGTCAGCAGATTTACGTTTTGTTTTTTTTTTTAATATTGAAACACGGGCTCCCCACCTTATGCTACCCAGGCTAGATTTAAACAGGGGGGGGGGGGTGGTGAGCAAAACATTCTGTGGTAATTTTAATCTACTCCCATTCATTCTGGGAGGCATATTTATTATTATTATTATTATTATTATTATTATTATTCATTAGTTCGTTATATGGCCTGTGAAATGCATGGAAAATAATAAAAATAGGCATTAATGGCAAACATCATTTGAAATGCAGTACATGTGCTATATATTTTCTATGTACAGTATTGTATCTAATGTTCTATAATTGCCTTACTAGAATAATATGTAATTTGGTTTGAATGCCCTAATGGCAGTTATTGTTGGTCATCTTGTTTTTCAGACCAGCATATTTCTGCATATATGTGTATGTATATATGTGTGTGTGTGTGTGTTTGTGCGTGTGTTCTCAATTTATAGGTGTGCGTCTGTGAATAACATTCATTTTCTTTGCAGCTAATTGGTTCTTCTCTGTTTCGCATTCATGAAGCACTTCTTCCTTGCTTTATAGGACTTCAGTCCTAATTCTAGGAGCATGATATGAACTCTTCTAGCAGTGCAGTTCACACCTAGACTTAATGTTTCCCATTCCTTTTGAAGGTCACTTGATGTCATCCTACGATTCACAAGAAACTGTTTGATAAGTTAACAGTCATCTCTGGCATTAGAAGGTAGCATCTGCCCTTTACCTGACTGGTTTCTGGTCGTTCCCAATGTCTCCTGCTTCACTTATATTGAATCAAATATATGACATTTTCTTGCTAATAAAACTATTCAATCTTTTTGGAAAACTTCATAATGATTTTTAGTAAGGTGTTACTTATTCTTTGTTATATGTGATTCTACTAATATGTAGCTTTGAATTTTTGATGATGGAAAAGGAAAGCCTCTCGGGAAAAAGAGAAAGCACTCATACACAATCACTCAATGCAGCCACTCTAAGGATGCCAGTTCAAATAACTTTATGTGAGGAAACTCATAATTTTCTTTAATTATGCTTGAGTCATTCTCTGAATTGTAAGAAATGCAGTATGAACATTACAGATAGTATTTTTATGATAAATAGATATTTATTGGTGCTTTTCCTAAACAAAAAAGGGAAAATTGATGTAATCGCAGACTGGACTGTAAAGATGCAAGCTCACATACCTTTGGATTCCCATTTAGAATGGCTTATAGGGGAGCTTGTGTATTCAAAAGAAAAGAAGCTTTTACTTTAAAAGAAAAGACACATTATCCCAGTTTATATAAAAGATATTAGTGCTTCCAGTTCTCGGTGGTTTTGGTTAGTGTTTTCATTTCTTGAGAAAGTCATGGGAACATCCTGGAATTTTTCATGTCATAGAGAGAGACAGCACCCTGTAGTACTATAATCATGCAATTCCCTAGTACAATTTTTCTTCCATAAAATAGATACAATACAAAAAAGCATAAATTGTAAAAAAAAAAAAAATTCAAAAACTTTGTGTCCAAGTAATTTATTATGATTATCCAATTTATTCTTACGTAGGGGACAGTAAAATGGCACTGCTGTTTTTTATTTTAGTTTTTAGGAGCAACAACAGCTTTATGAAGTAACAAAAGTAAGACGTCAGATGTTCTTCATGTTCTAATACCCGTGACACTCTTCATGTGAGACAAAATGTTCCTTATTATGTTTGTAATTTTACGTCATATATTTCCTATGCATAATTTTAAGCCAGGATGAGAAATGAAAAATGTAGAATAAAATGAGGAGACGTTTTCAAAAACTGATATCAAACTTGAAGGATTAACTATCATAACTGTAATTTAAACATACAAGGTTCTAAATCGAGATCAGAGAAACAGTGATTTATTGTTAAATCTGTAGGTAAATAAAAAAGCACATGCATAGATTTGTTTCTTTTGTGTATACAATATATTGCTCATTGTATTCAAAGGGTAACATTTTTAAACTATACTTCAACTACTTGATTTAAACATAAATATATTTTTTCCAAATCTTAAACTTCTAGAATCCACTCACCCCAGTGCATGAAATTTGTGATCCCCATGAGCTTAATTGTACTTGTAATGTGCTTTAACCTTACATGCTATGTGTGTCGACCAATGCGTTCAAGAGAACAGGATGAGAGCATTTATGGTCTGATACACTGATGGGAATATTGGGAAGAAGGGGATTTTAAAAACAAGCAAAAGCAGCTTGTCCAGGCATTTTTTTGTGGTTATTTTTCTCCGTCTCTCACTCCTTTGAGTTCTTTTCAGTCTGGTAGAGAATGAAGTAAATGTTTTCATTGAAGGAAACGTTTTATTGTTACCATTCAGTATCACGTATTATAGCAATGGGTATTTCTTTGTACAATAACTGTTTGTAAATTAATGTATAATAGGAATTCTTTGCCAAGTTCTATTGAACCAGTATCAGAATGTATTCACTAGTGAGACTTCTAAGCACTTACGTAACTCGCTCTGGCTAAGGTTGTCTGCCTGGTGTTGTAAATGTAAATAGGATTTCCACAGATGACATGTTGTCATGTTTTCATGATTGTCAAGGATTTTTATGGATCATATAGTGTATTGCATATTACTGGAGGGTCAAGTGAGAGGCTTTGTTGATACAGATATGGACTTGTTCCACCTGCCAATTTTTTTTCGACTATTATTTTGAATTGACTTCTTCCGTTTTGTTTTGACCTATAGTTACCCAGACAACAATTTGATGTCGGTTCCAAGAACAGCAATTTCCTCTTATTTGTCTGATTCCCCAGTTGTGCCCTGATGCATTGTTCTTATATTTATTTGGTATTTCTTTTTGTACCCTATCCTTGTCTGAGACTCTGAAAAGCGAAGGGTATGTTAAATAAACTTGTTTTTCTTTAAGTCCCTGTGATGATTTATTTCTATCCATATTTACATCTCTTGCATGCAAAAGTATCATTTAACAACAACCCATATACATTTTGTGTTCAATTCTCCTCTTTTTCAGAGATTGCATTCATCATTTCCATGCTATTGGCCAGCCTGAATAGCTGCTGCAACCCATGGATCTACATGTGTTTTGCGGGCCATCTGTTCCACGACCTGGTGCAGCGCTTCGTCTGCTGCTCCACACATTACCTGAAGTCCTCGCAGTGCCACTGTGAGCGGGAATCCAGCCACCGGAGCAACACCTCCACCTTTGTGATCAAGAGCACCACCAGCCAAAGAAGCATCACACAAACCTCCATAACATAAACCCCCTTGCCGGTCTCCTTCCATGCAGTCCTTCACTTTGAAAAGTTTCTGCTTTTAAGTTGAACCAAACTTACACATGTGCTTCCTGCCAATGTTGTATCCTCCTTCAGCTCCAAATCCATATCAGGCTGGAACCTTTATTGCCTGGACCAGGGGTCACCAACCTTTTTGAAACTGAGAGCTACTTCACGGGTACTGAGCCATACGAAGGGCTACCAGTTTAAGTTTAGGTCCTAAACTTATCTAAACTTCACATATAATAAACATGTTTTAAATGCTTTTTTTTTAGATATTGTCATTTTCAAATCCATATAAATGCAAATGTGATTAAAGAAGAATAGCAACAGGATAAAATTAAATTTTAGATGCTGCTCACTGGTGAGTTGTGCTATTTTTAGAACAGGTCCGCGGGCGACTCATGTGGTCCTTGGGGGCATCCTGGACCCCGCGGGCACCATGTTGGTGACCTCTGGCCTAGACCATCAGTTCTTTGCTGTCTTACCTACAGTAGTTGATTGTTTTGTCCAGCACCCACAGCTAGGCATTTCATAAAGCACTTATCCTTGCAAGATCACAATAATAGCTTTAAACTAACTACTGTCAAATAAGACATTTCTATAACCAGTTTAGATTTTCTGCCCATACCTTAAAGAGCTTTATTCACACTGTAGTCAGAAATGTTCCTTGTGCCTAAAACAGACCACTGCAAATGGCCATGTTCTATCAAAGAAATTAAGTGAAAGAAAAGAACTACTAACTTTATTATAGAATACAAATATTTTAATTTTTGTTTGATCATTTAGATCATGAAGAGTTTAGGTGAAACTATGTTTCCAAGTACCATCCATTGGTTTCATTATATTATACAGCTCAATAAAGGCTTCTTTGCTCACTTGTTTTTGTTATTTAAGTTAGCCCTCAAACTGTAGTTTATTTGTACCTGAAATTATAACAATTCTTTCATCTCGCATAATATTAAGCATGAAAATTTTTAAAATTACATTATTGTAGATATTATGGTTCACTGAATATCTCTCACCCGAATTACATCTCCCATGAAAATTATACTTCTGTGAACGCAATCTGTTGTTAAAGTACACAGTGCAGCTTGTCTTACGTGCACTCAGTGGCCGATTCATTAGGTACCTCTCCGTAGTACCAGGTATTCCTCCCTCATCTCCATAACCCCTCAAGAATTGGGGACTCATGCAATTGGGGCTACAAATCAGTAAAAACCCCAGGAAAGTGACTTTTTCTGAAATGTCTGGCACCAGCAATCATAGTACATTAAAAATCACTTAGACGATGTGTCTTAGCTGTTCTAAAGTTTAATGTAGCAGTAACTGAACCACTTGGCTATCTGTATGCTATATATATTGAGTTGCAGCAACAGGATTCACTATTTGGAGGAACAGGCTGTTTGTATTACCTCATAATTTAGCCACTGAGAATAGCTTATTTGGGGTAACTGTGTTTGTATATTTTTGTTATTCTGCACACAAACATTATTTATTGGACACTGGGTAATCTGCAAGAATAAATATCAAGTGAACATTGGTTTTAATGAATATATAAGTAAATTAACACTTGTTTTCTTCATGAGGAAAAAAAACATATTATTTTGATTTTTTTCATACAACATACTAGCAAATATCCAGTTATATAAAATACTGTATACATGACATATTTTAAATTGAAACATATTTCTTCCATCATCTTTTTGCAAACACAAAAATCAATCAGATCACTGTTTGTCATTAGTATTTTCCACAACCACACCCCTCATAGGTCTCATTTCCCTAACTAAAACAAATTCCATGTTTTTACTCTGACCTCTATTGTTAATAGTTCAATGACATCTGGAAAAAAAAACTGCAGGTACACCAGCCCAGCAGTGCAAAAACTGCAGATTGCACCCGATTTACATTCATGTTTTTAATGGATTCTTTCATCCATCTGGTGCACAAATTATGAAACAGCACATTTTAAACATCCAGTAGCACAAGCATAGTGTAAATCAGGCAATGTTGCGGAAAAGCCATGAAATATGAAATTCCGAAAAGTAAGTAATATAAAATATCAGGGTAATTTCTCTTCACTGCGGAGATAATATTTTGGAAGTGCTCATAGTATTATAGAACCTTAAATTACATTTTTAAAATGTATGTGCAGTGATTGAGTGTTTATAAAGCTTTTCAATGTGGAAAACAACTTATTGTGTAATTCCACATGCTTTATTTGGTCAGGTAATGTTCAATGTTCTTTATCTTTTATTTTAAATGATTTTGTAAAATAAATGTATGTATTGTTTTCTATAGTTTTCTCAAGTGAGACTTGTTTTAGTTTGGCTTTTCATTTCTTGTATTGAATTTTTTAAATCATAACTTAAAGCTATGATACAACAGGTACCAGGATACATGTATCTGTATGAAAATTCAGTTGACATTTACGCCCTCCAGTGGTTGGAAAACGCTCATACTGCATTGTTGCAAAATATGCAGTTACACCAGGCATACTTTCTCTCATAAACATTGAAGAAGAAAAAATCACAAATGGTTAAGGTTCATTAAAGGAAATAAATTGGTAGAATCTTAATTCTTGTTTATAAACATTGCATGTTACATTATACATTAAAGACAAAAGAACAGTCCCCTAAAAATCCATTGTTTTGCAGAATTTTCCCTTTTCATTTGGGTCGTATATAATACAGTAGTTAAAAAGCTCTTAACATTTGTTTTATTAGGCATATATTGTATTTTTAATAAGAAAGCTCCCTGGAACATCATTTATGGTTTTTACATTCCAAAAATTATTTGTTTAAAATGTTGCCAGGCAGAACCACACACAGCCAGCTGCTTCCTCTTCATTTGAAGCTATAAAAACAGGCAGAATAGCTGTGAACAGGGTACTGGAAACAGGCCTAGAATGGGTGAGCCATCCTCTATTAACATAACTGAACCCAGCTATTTGCTTGTGTAATAGAACAGCAAGACAAAAGGGTTCTCCTTTGGAGCTTTTGGTTGCAATGGAAGCTCCCAGTTTATGTAGGGGTCAGGAACATATCAAGATAGGACTCAAGCTGGGTCTCGGCAAAATCCAAATCAACGAAAGGACCAGAAACTTAAGTAGCCTGACCTCAGGCAATCCTGCGCCCTGGTGTCGGACTTTTATACCTCCTTGCGCAGGACCACCCTTACACTACTGAACACTTTGCCTATAGCCTCAAACAATGGGTCACAGAAGGTGTGGATGCAGAGTGAGTAGACACGGCTGAGGCACTGGGTCTCAATCAGGTAGCTCTTGATGCAGGGCATGACAGCCCAGATATGGCAGAAAGAGATACAGGCAAACAGAAAGCCCCACAGCAGGGACACAGGGATGCCGAATACAGCAGACAGCAGGCGGTAGCACCAGTATTTGGAAACGGTAAATGTTGTGTAGCTGGCCTTCCACACGCCGTCCAGGCTGTGCGTCCCATCTGGCTCAGCAATCACGTCCTCAAAATCCACCTGTAAACCAGAGGCAATTTATGCAGCCATTTCGCCACCATATTCACACAGAAATGTGACTCAGAAATGCCATAATAGTGTAGCACAAATGTTCCATTACTGTGTATTCATTTGTCCTATTTTGGCAAAAATATTCCCACAAGGATAGTAAACCAAAAATATGTAACTGAGCCTTTAGAACTGAGCCTTGAGAAATTAATCTATCTATCTATCTATCTATCTATATATATATATATATATATATATATATATATATATATATATATATACACACACACACACACACACACACACACACATGCAGGTTTGTAATTATATCTTTGTGGGGACTCTCCATTGCATTCATAGATGTTTGTGGGGACCTCACAACGTCAGAATAATATATTTCATCACATTGTAGGGGTAATTTCGTCCCCGCAATGTAATATAAACCTAATACACACACACACAGGCAGACCTATACTCATATCTTTATGGGGACCATTCATTCATTTATATGGGCAAAACCCTAATCCCAGCAATGACAACCTTAATCCCTACCCAGCCCTAACCTTAAACGTAAGTTAACTAAACAAAATACAGGCCTTTTGGCATTTTTACTTTTTGATTGCATTCACAATTCACAGACCTGAAAAATGTCCCCAAAAGTAAGGAAGTTTCAGGTTTTACCACATTTTGGGGACATTTTTCTCCCCAAACGTGATCTACGCAAACCCACACACATACATGCTTAATTCTGTAAAAATGCTGCAAATTTATTGGTTGCATAACAAAAATCTCTCAACAAGCATATCATCCTCACAGACATGCACTTTTTATTAAGTGCCATTTTTTGCCTGACTCATTCACTTCTGTTCTTGCCATTTTGCTATTTATTGCAACCATAGTCATTTGCACCTAAAGGGATACTAAACACAAATGTTTGGTGTTTTATGTTATTACAAAGGGGTTATTCATTAAAAAGCACCCAATGAGACTGCTTGTCAATGAACTTTTTAACTCAGAACCACACTTTTAGAACAATAATTCTAAAATCTATTACTACTTGAAATGAATGTTTCACTTAAAACCACTGTTTGTCTCTAATGTGATATATATTTTTTGTAAATAATAATAAATAATTATTTTTGTTATGAAACCAACATTATCAAAACTAGCAATTTACTATGAATATAATAACAGGTTTAGTTTATATTAGGCATCAAATCATGGTGTCACTTATTAGTTGCCTTTATAAACTTATAAACTAAAATGCTTACAGATCTTACATTTAAGTTTATAGCTTACACTCATTTCAGCCTTTCAGCATGGCTGCCTGGTATACAGGAATTAAAAGGCAAATAATGTATATTGATGCGACGCATCTAATTTAATAGTACTGCCTTTTCTTTCAAACACATGAACACTTGCAAAAAGCGCACAGAAAACCAGTTTAATCCTTCTCCCATTTCCCCACCACACCCTTTTTAAATGCTGCAAATAAACTTGGAGAATCTCCTGCTTTGGTAGGGGGGATGCAGCTATTTCGGGAACTGTACCAAAAGATATGGCCAGTTGCTATGTGGTGGAGTAAGCTGCAATATAGCCCCTCTGGAGTCTGGGGAAGGTCCATGCGAGGCCATGAAGTTCATGTCTACATACCTTGACCACATCTTCATTAATCTGCTTGGGGTCCCGGTTTATGAGGTCGATCTCCTTGGTGTTACTGTCCCGCAGGATCTTCTCCTCGTTGGTGTTGTACTGGTCCGCC